TATTCAACATTTTTCATAAGCGGTTTCCATAAAAGAAGCCACTTTGACGACTTTTTTTTATTTCAATTGCTTACATAAAAAATGTTAATTACTGTATAAAGATACCATATGTAGCCAAAACTTAAACAAAACTTTAGTAGAATAATTTATTAAAATAAAATTATTTTAATATATAATTTGAAATTATTTCAAAATATTAAAAAAAATTATACTGAAATTGTGAGATATTGGATCGAACTCTAGTATGGTCGAAGTCTGTTCGCGAGTAATGCGTGTTGTAGTCGAAGTTTGTTCTAACATGCATTAATCAATACTGCTAGTTTTGTTAGCATGTTGAATTGAGTCTTGCTTGTAAGCCCAATTGTTTAAATTAGTTTGTACCATAAGTTAACTTGTAATGAGTAATTGTTAAAAAGCCTTAGTGTGTTAATTTTTTTATGAATAACATGCTAGTCTCTCATCCGAGAGAGATTATTTTGTTATTCTTATATACTTGTAATTTTGTTTCTAAGAGAAAAGAAAGAATATCATGTTATGATTAATCTTTGTTGTTCTTTATTGGTTTATTTTGTTTTCTTTATTAATCCTAATCCTTGTATATTTTTTGATCATAAAAAAATTATTTATATATTATTTCAAGACATCCGATTCACAACATAAAACCCTTATTATATGAAACCACTTGTATTAAATAATTGTTTCAAATTATTAGAATCACTTGAATTTTGCATCAGAGTACAAATAAATGTTATTTTATTACGTTAAAGCCATCGTACAAAAATTAAAAGAATTTGGCTCGAGTACGTGCAAGTCACAATATCGTTACATAATACCACTCACTAAAAACTCCAATCCAATATAATAATAATTAATATAATAGTAATTATTATTAATTATTAATTGAATGAATAAAAACATAATGCAAAATCATAACATAAAATATTTACCAATACTTTATATATAAATCGTAACATATATATATATATATATATATATATATATATATATATATATATATATATATATATATATATATATATATATATATATATATATATATATATATATATATATATATATATATATATATATATATATATATATATATATAAACCAGTATTTTATATATAATCCAGAAGGTGTGATGACATAGGTTAATCACATTATCAAAAAAAAAAAACACTAAAAACAATTGAGCAAACATGAAAAAATCTCAAATATAAACTTTTAAACTATCATTGCATCGTTTTAAATTAAAAGAAACCTAATGATTGATAATCAGCATTAAGAAAAACACAAACCTTACACAAATTAAAAAATAAAAAATAAATCTCAATTTTAAAAATAAGAGCTTTAAAATATTATAAAAAAAATAAATTAAATTTGATATGGTGACTATGATATCACTTGTTAGATCTGTTCACAGAATAAAGACAGAAATGTACTTAAATTTGCCATTAAAATCGTTGAAAATTGCAGATATGCAATTTTTCGATTTGTAGAGTTTCTTGAATTTTTTCGAATAAGAATGAAAAGAAAAAACTTGATAAATCATTTTTTTTTACTGTTCTCTATTATATATTGACTTATGGACACAATAATCTGACCTTTCATATTTATATATTTAGCCACAAATTTAATATTATACTAATTAGATTCTTTAAGTCTTGAGTAATTAAAATAATTATATTAATATTTTAAATATTATATTTATGATCCAAAATTTTAACATCAATGTCATTATTCCAAATATTTTTTTTTATATTTTTATGTTTTAAATAATTTTTAAAATAAAAAGTAAGGATAAAATTAAAAATATTATAAGACTTAAATGTTTAGACATTTTTTAAAGGATAAACATTTTTATAAAGTTACTCATATATGAGACGGATGATATATAAAAAGGAGAAAATACTAGATTTTCTATGCAGATGAACGATTTTCTATGCAGATCAACGTGCTTTATAAAATTTAGTTTTATTCAATTAATTAGAAGGCTAATGCATCATTTTTTTTAAAGAGAGTAATGTATCATTTTTTTCAAATACATATAATATTGATTTTTCTTACTAAAAAAATATTAATGATAAAAATAATAAAATACTTATCCTTATTACACATATGAAAAATGATTGAGGGATATTTGATGACTTTGCTTCTATCTAGGGCTGGAAATGAGTCGAGTCGAGTCGAACTCACCTCAGCTCGGCTCGACTCATTAAGAATTGTTCGAATTCGAGTTCGAGTTCGAGTTTGACACAAACTTTTTTTTAAGCTCAAACTCGACTCGTTATAAGTTCACGAACAGTTCGGTTCGACTCGTTAGGTTCATCTCATTAGGTTCATCTCACATGGTTCACGAACTTAAAAACTATTTTTTTAAATATATATAATTTTTGGTATATTTTACATTTTAAATAAATATATATTTTTTAAATAAAATATTAAAATAAAATAAAAGTTATCATATTGAAATTTAACTTTATCTTTGAAATCTACTAATTCAAAACCTACACAACTTTCAAGAGACACATTTGAGAGTCTAATTCAAAACTACTAAATTGAAGATTAAATTTGTCTAAGATTTGAAGTAAATATTTAAACCTAATCTTAAAGATAGTATAATTCTTTTCATATGTAACCGAGTTGACTCATGAACCTAACGAGTCGAACTATGTATAGTTCAAGTTCAGCTCATTTAGTTAACGAACTTAATTTTTCGCTCATACTCAACTCATTTGGTTCATGAACCTAGGTCATCGATTTAATTGTCGAGTCGAATTCCGAACTATCTTCGAGTTGGTTTGGTTCATTGCCAGCCCTACTTCTATCTCATTAAATTAAGTATTATCTCTCATCAAATAATTTATTTTATTCATTCATTTATCTTTGGATTATACTAAATCACCAAATATCAAAGTGACATGATCTTTCCTTTATATAAATAAATAGTTGACTTTTGAATTACACATTAATAAGCCTTCATTTCAATTTTGTAATTAAAGTAGTAGTATTTATTAGTGTTTATACAAAATATATTATTTTTGACAAAATGTCTTATAATAGTATATAAAAGATATTCTTAAAGTTTAAAGATAGGGCACGATAAATATAAAATAATATTACATAGATGTTTAAATAAATTTTTTAAATATATTAAATAATATTAATATTTTAAAATTAAAAATATGATTCGATACAATAGACAACTTTTTGTATTGACATTATAAATGTATATTCCATTTTCTTTTTATTTAGTACTATAGTAGTAAGCAAATAGATTATTTTATTTTGTTACATTTTTTGACCAAATCCCTTACTTTACTCACTTTTTTTTCTCTGTCTATTCTGCTTTTGCAATGAATGCACCACTACCACCCTCCACATCACCTTTTCTTATTAATACTCAAACCCTTTTCTCGCTTTTTCTCTTCTCTTTCTCAGTCTCCTCTTCCCTAATTCCTAACCTTAATTTCCTCCATTCAAAGATAAAAGGTAATCAATCTCTCTACCTTTTACCATTTTCCACCTTTTAAATTTTGATTAGTTACCATGCTTTCTTCAACTACCTTCTGATTTTAGGTTTTGTCATGTGAATTTTTCAGTTTTGTGACTTTGTTGTGAATGTTTCTTGTTTCAATTCCGTTACTTTTTTGTATTGGGTTCTTTTGTTTGTTTTTGACCATCATTTTCACCGGTATAATTTACTTTGTTAATTAACTATTGTTTTATTTTTTATTTTTTTAATATTATTAGGTTAGGATAATTACGTGACATTTTATTTACTTGAGCTTGTAGCAGGCAGTACTCTTTTACGTTCTATCTTTGATTCTTTGTTGACGAGATCACGGTTTTTTTTCTGTCTTTTTTCTGCTTTTTGTGGGTTTGCACTTTATCTCTTGTTTTTCCCTGTAGTGGGAAACCATACTTTCTTTTTATTTGTAGTTTTCTTCTTATTTTCTTGCTTTACTTTGCTCTCAACCGTGCATTACTTCGTTTACCAAATTTTTGCACTACATGGTTGTGTGGAGGTAAGCAAAGAAAATTGCTATGGACAATCTTTTTTAGTCAAAAAGTTTTAATTTTTGACAAAGTTATGTTCTTCCTTTTTTTTTTTCTTTTGTTTTTATGACTTTTTTTATTTTTTATTTTTTTTTAGAATTGGGGTTGTTTAAAATTTGAGAGAGATAAGTTATTATGATGCTGCGTCTAGAAACCCGTATACAATAGTATATGATCATTGTTTCCCGGGGAAGTACTCTGGTAATCCGGAGTTTGGCCGGAGGTAAGTAAAGAATGGCCAAGAATTGTTTTACCTAGGATTTGAATTCTGGTTCTCTAGAAGATTTCCTTTTTAAGTGAAGCTCATTTAACCACTTGAGCTTAATCACTTGGTTGATACGGGTCTGTTTATTTTATTGAAAAAGGAACAAAAGAAACCTTGACTCTTAAAACTGTTTGAAACATGTTATAATAATAGGACATGGTTTATTGTATTGTATTCTCTTTTTCATGCCCTTGTTTTGCTTCAGTTTTTTAATGCAAAATTTCAGAAATTAAATCATTTCAAAATCTATATTTTGACTGTCAATTATCAGAGATATTTTTAGTATATTCTATTCATTGTTCAAATGTTGGGATTTTTTCTATTCATGTAACTAGTTTTCTTTTCTTTTTATTATGTTTCAAATGCTACAGTTTGTGAGATCATATATTAACTATTAATGGAGTCTCCTGTTTTCTTTTATTCAGCTGGTTTCATTAACCATTCGAATAATGTCCAGCAGATTTTGAATTTGACTAGGATTGAAAGAGTTCATATTTCTTCAATGAGTTGTAAAGCGACTTATATTTGGACTTGTGAGAATATTTATAGTCAAGATTGTTTGCTCAGTTGACTATACCAATATTAACAATTGGTGCAAATTGAGATCTATATTGGAAAAGGGAGCATTTAAAAGTCACCACCATCTAATGCGTGCGTTCTGGAACTGAAGAAAATGGGCTGCTGTGTCTCAACGAGCAGTCGAAGTACTTGTAGCAGCGGGAGCAACGGAGATATGATCACTCCATCTTGCTTAGAAGTTGGATTCTGTGGACAAAAGAGAGCAAGGAGAACATTCTCTGACCATGTTATTTCTCTACACCATTTATCATCCTTACCTAGCAGGATTTTTGCTAATGGAAAGAGTCGGGGTTCATGCATTTTTACACAGCAGGGCCGCAAGGGAATTAATCAGGACGCCATGGTTGTGTGGGAAGTAAGTTTGTTCATCTTATTGGTGATAATGCAATCCATGACTCTTTTTAAGTGATTCAAGAGACTTGGTTGATTTTTGATGTTGACATCCTAATTTCATTCTGTATTTTTGTAGGATTTCATGTCCGAAGATATGATCTTTTGTGGTGTCTTTGATGGCCATGGTCCGCACGGTCATCTGGTTGCCCGCAAAGTGAGGGATGCTTTGCCAGTAAAATTGCTTTCATTTTTGCATTCTCATGAATCGAAGCAAAAGGAATTGGGCAAAGCTTGTTTCAAACGAAACGTAAAACCGGATGGTGGGGACTCGGAAAAGGATTGCTCTGCTGAGGATAAACTGAACTCCACCTGGAGAGAAGCTTTCATGAAAGCATACAAGGCCATGGACAGAGAGCTCAAGTCTCATTCAAATCTAGATTGCTTCTGTAGTGGGAGCACATCTGTGACTATTGTGAAGCAGGTAGTAACTAGACAGAGAAGTATATACACTCATGTTTTCTATTCCCTTCACAGTTTTCTTAATTTCTTATCTTCTCAGGGTTCAAATCTCTTCATGGGATATATTGGGGATTCTCGGGCAATAATGGGATCCAAAGACAGCAATGACTCCATGGTGGCAATTCAGTTGACTGTTGATTTGAAGCCTGATTTGCCAAGTATGTGTCATATTATGCCATTATTATTTATTCTTTGATGTGTATATGCTTTCCTCTTGATGCACACTTAATTTGAATTTGGTTTAAAATTCTCAAAGGAGAAGCGGAAAGAATCAAGCAGTGCAAGGGTAGGGTTTTTGCCTTGCAAGATGAGCCGGAAGTCCCAAGGGTGTGGTTGCCTTTTGATGACGCGCCAGGATTAGCAATGGCTAGAGCATTTGGAGATTTCTGTTTGAAAGAGTATGGTGTAATTTCTATACCTGAATTTTCTCACCGGCTGCTTACAGACAGAGATCAATTCATTGTTCTTGCCTCTGATGGGGTACATTTTTTAATCTCATATCTATTTCTTTAGCTCTTAGTTTTTGTTATTTTAGAGGTTTATTACTTTTCCATGTGAATAGGAAATTTCAACAGGCAAACCATCATTTTGATCATTGAATGTGTCATTCAATATTAGTATAGTCCGTGAATTTATCAAAATTATAAAACATCCATGATTGTGTCTTTCTTTAGTGAGTTTGGTCCTCAAATCTCTTCCATTAGTCAGTTTAGTCCATGAAATTACAAACAAAAAACACATTCGCGGATGTTTTTGTAATTTTATTACATTCATGTACTATTGTGACACTGCTTATCACATTTAAAGGCCACAGTATGACAATTTAATCAAATTTCAACATATACGAGCTGCAACTTTGAAGTTATTTTCTCTTGGTTAGTCTGGCGTGTGACTCGTGACTGCCATGAAGAAGTTATCTTACAAGGATAAGCTGTCAAGGTGTGATATTGAAATAAGAAAACATAATCAGTGTAGTAAAGTGTTGATTAGTAATGAGTTGTGGCGTAACATTAATCATAAGCTGATAGGAAGGAGACTGAGAAGTGGCTTCTAGAACCGACCACTTGGTAGAATAATGTGTTTAATAACATGACAGAACTATTAACATGTCCTGTTTGTCAATTGCCAGTGTGATAATTGAGTAAGCTAGCTTCTTTACAGTTTGTCCTGTTGTGTTTGAATGTATCTTTGGAATCTTATGAAATTCACGTATAGATGACACATGAATAACAACTTGGTTCTGGCTCCTTTAGAAACATACCTTTGCCTGGTTTTCCTGATATTTCATAATTGACATGCTGGTATTTGATTGATTGTTCATGAGATGGAAATAAGCAACAAATTATAGAAGGGGATGCTATTTAAATTGATAAAGTCAACTATCATTATTTCACTTATTAAATAAATATGTTTTAAACATTAACAAACAGGTACTTGACAAACTATTTTTGCAACATTTTTCATACTGAGTAAAACTCTCAAGTTTAGGTCTGTGTGAAAGGGATCAGAGTTTTCAAGTAAAGTGGATTAAGTTGTTACATATTAAGGCTTTGCGTTGTAATATGGAAATGAACATAGTCAAAAAGATAAATAGACTCGGTGGCACTTTAATTAGCCTACAAAAATTGGACATTTTGCAATGTCATTGCAATTTTTGGCTAGAAACATTCCTCCTTGTGCTAATTGGTGAGGATACAAATGTGCAATGCCTAAGTGAAATTTGGTGAGAACAGTGTGATACTTCATTCTTTGCTGGATAAAACTGTATGTCAGTTACCTGGTCAGGTTGTTGGGGCACCATATTATTGATTGCCTATCTTCCCCTTGTCCAAGTTTTTAAATCGCGGTTGCGTCGTGATTTTTGATATAACAGTCAGATGCGGTCTCAATCATATGGTTGCGTATATTTTTGGAAACGTTGAAGCAGCTACCTAGATCACAGCTGTGGTTCTTTTTTAAAACCATGTTCATGTCTGTCTTTACTGCAGGAAATAATTAACTGATCAAGACTCTAGACATATAATGAATTTGTGAATGACTTGTGGAGGATAATCTATGGGATTTTTTTTTTCTTCCAATTATGCCATACCTCTGAGCTAACCAGTTTTCTTGGTATAATTTTAGTCCTTGAAGCTTCTATCCTTCACTGATGGTAACTAATTCTCTTGGCATTTTGTCTAGGTTTGGGATGTTTTAAGTAATGAGGAGGTGGTTGAGATAGTATCGTCGGCACCAACACGATCCTCAGCAGCAAGGACTCTGGTAAATTCGGCTGCACGGGAATGGAAACTCAAGTATCCGACATCAAAGATGGATGACTGTGCTGTAGTGTGCTTATTTTTGGATGGTAAAATGGACTCAGAATCAGATAATGAAGAACAAGGCTTCTCTTCTGCAACCATTCAGAGCAACCATTCAGGGAATCCAATTGAATCAGATGATGGACAAAAGTCTGAGCCATCTTTGCAACGAAACTTTACTGTGAGATCATCAGAAGAAAATGAGACTTGTGGAACAGTTTCCGTTGATGTTGAAGATGGAACAGCATCAGCAGATGATCAAAACTGGTCAGGTTTGGAAGGGGTCACCCGTGTAAACTCACTCGTCCAACTTCCTAGATTTTCTACGGAAAGGTCAAACTCTTGAACTTGTTGCTTCACGAGGTAACAGTTTAGGGAACAACCTTTCTCCACCCCATATTTTTAAAAAACCACATCTGTTTTCAAAAATATATTTTTGGACAATTCTGAAAGTTTTTCGAAAGACATAAAATTGATGTTTTTCATTCTTTCTGGATGTGTGTATCTGGAGTAACATTGAGTAGTGTGTGGAAAGCTCCTTGGTTTTTATGGCAAAACCTTACCCATCACTGAATTCAAGAAAGAATTTGTGTAGAAGTGGTATCATTTTGATGGTCCTTTTGGTTGCCAAATTTACTTGTAGAAACTAATGTTTGACTAGGATTACCAGTCACAACGTAATTGATTTTGGCTTAATGCAATGAGTTTCTTGTTTGTTTTGGAAAGTAGCTTAATGTAACACGTAAATAAGAGGGTTGTGTACTTCCGGCCACTAGATTATTTGACAAAAAAAAGTGTGTACTAAGCCAGACAATAATCTCGAATCCCAGTTCATGGAATCCGATTATGGGCTAATGTGACTAAGCTAAGATATGATTAGAGCAAATCTTTGTTGAAAATAATGTTAGGTTTCAGTCAAGTTCGACATCACAATAGTTTTCATTTCAAGGAAAAAAGTTTTAATATTTCACAGACCGACATATCCATGAAATTTGATTTCACAAGCTAAAGTAAATTTGTCAATCAATTATTGAAACAACCTAGAGAGACATGATAAAAGGTTTTGTACAATTATCACGTTAGGCCAAGAAAAGATAGGATGAAGTTGCAATCGGAAGATATTAAAGTTAGAGGGACATAGCATGACCTGTATTATTTTATAGAATGAAATCAGGTGAACAAACCAGATATCGGGTAACACACGAGATTGTCCATAATTTTCTTTCAAGACACTTCTCTTTTATGTATGTTTGGAAAGTAAAATTTTCACTTAATGTGTCAAAAACTGACTTATTTAAATCATTGGCCTATATAGACTATAAAGAATAGTCTATATGAATGTTTGAAAAGTAAAATTTGCACTCACGGGCGGTCTAATTCCGCTCCGCTCATCTTAAAAGTAGGGGTTGGCGGTCTAATTCCGCTCCGCTCATCTTAAAAATAGGGGTTGCTCTTCTCATTTCGCTCATCTTAAAAATAGGGGTTGCTCTTCTCATTCTTATTGGTTAACATCTACCTTCTAAAACTTGAAAATGTCCTTCGCGTAGTTTGGAAGTTAATTTTTGGATATCCCTAATAGTAAATATCAAGTGAGATACATATACCCTAATTTTACCAAAGAATTGATGGAAGGGTGAGTCCGACAATTAACTTTTGGACTAACCTCTGGACACGTTTGTTTATTTCACAACTTAGTGGAGAATTTGAATGTTAAGTTATTGACAAACTCTCAAGATAATAAGTTTCCTTCACGCACATGTGCAATAAGTTTGTTATAAATTTAATAAACTTTATATTTTATAAACTTTATGACATTCAAACAAAATATCCATAATCGTTAAAATAATGTGGTGTCTTAGGGGCCTCTTGAGAAAACATAGGAACGACAACAATAGGTTTAGCAAGTATTAGCAAGTTGGACTTCTAGGGATTTTGGAGAAGCAACAAGGGACACATGTCTCTAGAAAAACGGTGTCAGAGACAGGTTTCTGTCTCAAATAAAGTGGCACCAATGAGCGTGTTTGGCCACTATACCATGTCTCAATCTGTCTTAGTTGTCAAACATTTTATCTTTAATTAAACTAAAAAAAATCATATTGTAATCAAAGAAATCAAATCCATGGGGCAAATACATGCAAAAAAAATACACACTATACATATCAGAATTTTTTTGGAAGTTAACTTTCATACTAGACGAAGGCAAAAAAAAAACATAATTAATTGCATGTTGGATGCATCCGAAGTTTAAATTCTGAATTTTAGAAGTATTATTGATTTTTCACTAGGGTGGGTGAACACCACTAAGGGTGCGAAGAGTAATGTCCTATTAATATCATCATTTACATAGAAACATGTATGATTTTCCCACATACAACGCCATTGTTCCACTAACGAACCATAATTGATTGGAGATTGAAGATTGCAATTTGTAGCTAATATTTTCTAGGTCAAATCGTGAGTGTATAGGACCTCTATTCATTTCACCATGGTTAAACTGTAGATAATCTACACAGTATCTCCAAAAACTTGAGACGACTCTGATTATTATAACAATCTACTAAACTTCAGGCGAAGGATGTGTAACACTCTTGTTATTCCCGCATAATTTATAAATAAAATCAGAGTAAATTACAACTAATTAACAATTAGGATGCTACGAACACCAAACAACTCATACAATTAGATATGTAACACATACAAAATTTCACTAACATAATAATAATAATAATAATAATAATAATAATAATAATAATAATAATAATAATAATAATAATAATAATAATAATAATAATAATAATAATAATAATAATAATCTGAACTCCAAAATTTGTTTAGCAGCAGAAATCATCAATATGGTTTAACATCTTCAAAACAAAATCATAACATAAAGTTATTTAAGAAATTATCAAAACATAACACGAAGACACAAATGTTCAACCCCTAGTGTTATACATCCGAGCAGACGTCAGCTCAACAAAATCAATAAGATGAGCAATCTCTTCCACTTACATCCAAGCCTCTATTGCGGATTATCTGCACGATACCCATGTAAAGGCAACATTCAAACAAAAAGGGTGAGAAATCACAATCATATAAAGACATGCATAATAATATGTAAGCACACCATCAACATATGTATATTCACCCATTCTAATGCTAGAATGAAAACTATTATTATAAGTAAACTCTATCAATGACAGATGACTATCCCAAACACTTCCTTCCTCAAGGACACAAGCTCTCAACAAACCATCCAAGGACTGAATAGTTCTCTCTGTCTGACCATCTGTCTGTGGATGATAAGCAGAACTTAACCTCAACTTCTACCCCAAAGCTTTTTGCCAACTCTCCCAAAATCTGGATGTAAACCTCAGATCTCTATCAGAAACAATACTCATCGGAACTCCATGCAGCTTTACAATCACACAGATATATATCTCTGCCACCTTCTGCAAAGGAAAACTGATGTTAATCGGAATAAAGTGCGCCGATTTTTTCAGTCCATCAACAATCACCCAAATCACATCATGCCTTATAGGAGTATTCAGTAATCCCATCACAAAGTCCATCGAAATGATATCCCATTTCCACTCTAGAATATCTAACGGTTGCATCAACCTTGTAGCCTTTTGGTTCTCAACCTTCGACTTCTGACAAGTCAAGCACGCACACACAAACTACGCCACATCATGCTTTAGTCCATGCCACTAAAATATATTTTTCAGACCCTAGTACATCTTAGTAGCTCCTGGATGGATACTCAAGCTACTTCTATGAATTTTTTCTAAAATCATCTTCTTCAACTCAGGATTATCAGGTATACAAATTCTACCCATAATTCCAAGACACCCTATTCATCCACTTTAAAATCATCCTCTTCAGTTTGATTACTCCTAACCATCAAATCCACCAACTTCACATCCAACTTCGGACTCTCTTTAACATTATTAAGAAAATAATTGTTTATCTTTAACATACCCAACATCACGCTCTACGGAGTTAAATTGCAAACCAAACTCAAGTCTCTGAACTGTTTCATGAGTTCCAACTCTCTAACCATCAAAGCAGACATATGCAAGGACTTTCGACTTAAAGCACCAGCCACGACATTAACCTTGCCTAGGTGATAGTTCAAGCCAAAATCATAATCCTTCAGAAATTCCAACCATTTTCATTGCCTCATATTCATTTCCTTATGATCAAACAAATACGTTAAGCTTTTGTGATTATTGAATACCTCGAATCTGGAACCATAAAGATAATGTCTCCAAATCTTCAGCTCTGTGAAACTTTTCTCACAATGGATGTCTCACACAAACGTTTTACCTTTACAAGTCAGCTGGGCTAACGGAAGTGCTAACTTGGAAAAGCCTTCAATAAACCTACGGTAGTAATTGTCACACCCTGATTTTTGACTCTAAGATCCCACCTTTTTTTGTGCATTTTTCTTGCGTTATTTTGACTTTACATTTCATATTTATGTTTTTGCGACTAACGAGCTTATGTAGGAATGTCAAGCAGGCAATTTTGTTTCTCCTAATTTAAGCACTTCAAGCCATCTCTGGGTTATTTCTAGACAGTACACAGTGTCTTTATCAAGAGTTCCACAAGGCTACAAGGCATTGTTTCTAAAAAGAGCCGAATTGATCACACTTTGGATTTTACGATCTTCCAAGTTCCCTTTGTTCGAAGTTTCTCGAGTAACATTTGCAAGCCGTTATGTTTCGCAAATTAAGACCACGATTGAATTTGCGGTGTTTTGAACGTATTTTTGATGTTCAAGGTTCGACCAGTTGATTTTATGGAAGTGTCTCTTAAAATGGAAACCGAGAGTTTGATTATGCTTTTAAGTCAAACATACATCAGAAGTAAAAGTTCATAATCAAGATTCTTAGATCGGAAACGTTTTTATTCATTAATCAAAAGAAGGTGCATTTTATTACATGGAGTGAACTACAAGTTTTCGTACAAGATTGTTGGATCATATAATTTCTAAAACTACAATCCTAAGATTTCTAACTCCTCGGATCGTCAAGCTTTGACCGCCGTCTTCATCACGTACTGAACCTGCACAGTGAACAACAGTTAATTCAGAGTAAAAGATTTTATTTGTTTTTGCCTCAGCCCTCAGAAAATTGTCATCATCGGGCCGGGACGGAAGGGCAACAACCGAAGTCGTCGCCAGCTTCTAAAATCAGGGACAATTTATTTCTTATGGCTCAAGCAGTATCAAGGCAAATTCTGTTATTATCAAATTCAAAGTCAATCCGCGGGTCAGAGGTCCAAATTTCCATTTTTTCAACATTGTTAAAAGTCAACAAGTTAAAAGAGGAGGATATTGGAAAA